TTGGCTCTCTAAGTCTCCTGGGCCTAGAGAAATGAGCTCTGTGTATTTCTGCTTACTTCTGCAGTGGCTTAGTGCAGCTCCTAGGATGGATCTGCAGAGAGTCTGTGTGCTTATGGCTGCCCAGGACAGGGGTCCCAGCACAACGTTGTGTTTATTTCCCAAACACAAATCTCCCACGCTCAGATGGCTCGACCAGCAGGACTGAGTGGGGCCCAATCAGAAATAAAGTCCTTTTTTCTATTATTTTTTTAAATTCTGACACTTTAAGGATTTTCACTGTGCCTCTTCCCTACAAGGCAGCCCTCCGTAAGAGTCTTGGTTGTTTTAGGGATTGGTAATTATGGAAATCTTCCTAACTGCATACAAAGAAGGTAAGCGTTATCATCCATATCAGTCCTCCAGCTTGACCCCTGCGTCATTGAAGCTGCTCATGGAAGTCTGTTCATTAATATCTGTGGATGCATCGTGTGAGGAAAGGAGCTCAGCTTCCCACAAAACCGTTTTTTCTTTGCGATAGCTTTTTTAGCCGAGGAAGAGAAGAGCCAAATGACACAGCACAACAGTGCTGCTCTTAGCAAGGCTGTGAGCAGTCTGACACGTCTTGGGGAGAGAGACGTAGTGTGCAGGAATCAAATGTGGGTGGTTTATTGTGCAGAGCAGGGTTGTAAATGTAGTGCTACAACTATTACAGCCTTACAAGTATCGCAGCCTTTAACTATTACATCGCTCAGAAATAGAGCGCTGTGGGGGAATGAGACGGGGGAACGAGACAAGGGCATGCGCTGAAGGTAGGATCATGGTTTGCAGCCTTGGAGAGATCTTGTTCTGGTGTAAATCCTCACTCATCCTGGTCCTTTCCGCTCCTACCGTAGGCATGAGCACTGTCCCAGAAGTGATTGTAGCCAGGCATTGTGGCCTCCGAGTCCTTGGGATCTCCCTCATCACCAACAAAGTGGTGATGAGCTACAACAGTCAAGAGAAAGCCAACCACGAGGAAGTGCTGCGCGTCTCGGTGGTCCGGGCTGAAGCCCTGCAGAAATTGGTCACTCATCTCCTTGGCAAGCTGGGGGAAAGCACAAACTCTCCGTGACCTCCAGCCGTTTATCATTCATATCGTAAGGCGTGAACACTAGCAAGTGCTGGGGGAGAGCTGTCGGTGAGACTGTCCCCTTCAGCTGTCCTGATTTTGAATAGACCTTTTGATCTTTGTCCCTGTGCTTTAGCTGGTTTGCTTTGAATTTTGCCAGTGATCCCCTTGTTAGTAGCCAGTGACCAAAACAGCTTTCTGGCACTTAAACAGGGTCTGACCTCTGGCAGATTCCCAAACCCATATGTCAGCAATGAGCCCCTCGGTAACGCCGAGCTCCCGCTCCCCCTCATTCTGCTGGAGAGCGTTTGGTGTTTCTCGCCCATGGCGCTGCCTCTCTCAGTGCCGTACCCTCCTGCCCTGAGTCTTCGTTCCCCCGTTGCACTGCGCCGTGAGCCAGGTTGAGAGCTGGTCGCAGGGCTTGGTGCCTGCCGGACGTGCTTTGGTAGGACCTGATCTGAAGCCGATGGAAGCCCACAAAAAGACTATGTTTTGGATGAGGACCTGGATACGTAAAATGGGCTAGGCTAACGATGAGATCTGTCTGGAACAAACAATGCTGCAGAGCAGGCAGATTGCAATTCATTTTACAGCTTTGAAAACCACTGCGTCCCCATGCACGGGGTTGTGTTCCCTCACCACCCCTGAAGGTCTCACCAGAAAGCCCTCTCTCTGCTCACTTCTTGCCTCTTCAGGACCAGCTGCAGAGCTCAGTAGCTGTTTGCTACAAAGCAGCATGCCCCCAACACCCCCTCACACCTCTCTGCTCTGTTTCCAGCCTTGAATCACTATTGCCCTGTTTTACAGGGGGCGAAAGTCCAGCTCAGGTACCAGGCATGACTTGTCCACGCACGGTGTAAAAGTGGCCAAGCTGGAAACAGGATCTAGGTCCAGCTCTGCCTGGTTGTGTTCCTTCTGTTTCTGGATGTTTCGGAGATCAGCAGCTTGAGCCACTTGCACTGGAGACGGGTTACCTTCTGGTGTCCCAAGACAGAGAGATCAGTTTGACCCAGTGTTTCACCCCCGCTTTGCTCTGCTGCAGTCCCTGCAGCAGATGTTGGAGCACCAATGGTTTGTGGAGTTTAGCGATGTGAAATTACAGTGGAAATTATTTGGAACAGGTCTGATACTTTTCTGACTTTCCTGGTCCTCTTACATGAAGAAATGGAGCCTAGCAGTGAGTAAAGGACAAACAGGAGAGGCCACCGTGCTCTCTTTTACCAGCGTGCCGATGGCCTATCAAGGAAGGGTGACTACTTACCAGGACGGTGCATTATTCATTGTTCCCCAAAGGTCAAGCTGAGCCGTGGATGCAGCTGGATGTGAAACACTGACTGTAATTATTAGGTAGCCTTTTTCCCTTCATTTATCTTGGAGTTCTCTATAAAGCCCATCGCTGTCACAGCTAAATGTTTTCAGTTGGCACAGTGGTCTGAACTGAAGACACCCAACTGGTCACGGAGAGCTCCCAATCTGCCTTCCTAAATTTAGCTGGTCAATTGTTTACCACTGATGCTCACTCTCCGTTGCAGCCTTCAGCCTTCCATGACATTTCTTCAGCTCTGGGCGCAAAAGGACATCGTGGGCCTGGTGATTTTTTTTTTTTCTGGATGGGTATTTGCTTGAAGCCCTTCATGCTGCAATTACTGGTGTCAACTGCTGTATTACTAATGGTGCAGATGTTGCCACCAGGAGGAACAGAGTTGTGCTGCGTATGCCCTCCGTGAAAAGGTAGCGCTTCAGGCGTAGGAGAGATCTTGGGGCGGCCACCCCATCCCCTTTACTTACCTGTGGTCAGTCCTGACAAACATCTGCCCAGCCTGGTCTTGAGGACTTCTGGAGGGGAAGGGTTCGTTGCCTGCGCTCTACTGGACGAGTCACTTGTTCAGCGGCTCCTGGCACTTGGAGGAGCCCTCTGAGACAGCAGCTCTTTCCATTTGGTGGGTCTGACTGTCAAGACAGTCTTGGAGACCAGCTTTGGTGGTAACATGCAAAGGGAGAGACTCCAGCTCCTTCTCCCACAAGGCTGTTGCCTTTTCAGGTCTAGCGGGGGTGAATTGCTTGTCAACGGTGTCGGCAAAAGCAGTGAAATATGAAAAGTGGCAGATGCGCAGAGCAAGAAGGAACCACTTTCACCTGCTCCCTCTTCAGACTTTGTCCTGTAACAAGCTCATATTGGTACAAGAGAGAGCAGATAATTTCCCCTGCCTAGAAAATGGTGCTTCACATTGATCTAATTAATACTTGGTAAATACAAAGTCTCTCAAGTGCGAGTGGAAGACAGCTGTGCAGCTAGCTGTAGCTAGAGAGCAGCTGGAGTAGCTAAGGCTGGGATTTCAGCAGGCTCCGTTAATTAATCAGAGTCAGGCTGGACTGCAGTGTGAAGGGAAGCATCCAAAAAATCTGCTGTTGTGATGGTACTTCTCAAGCCAGGCTTGAGATGATGAGGAGCTTGGCAGCAGCGCCTGCTTTCAGTAGGCTGGGCGTGCTCCTCTCTCCAGCCACACCGGAGGCAGAGCGTGAGACCCAGACCATGCACTTGGATCTGAATACAACTCAAAATTTAACCTGAAAATCACCATGCAACTAAATCTTTGGCAAATGATGCCTGTTTTTAAAGAAATACCTTCTAAATAGCATTTGAGGCCTCTAACAGTTTGGGCTCTTCTTTCCGCTGTCTGGGGTTGAGTTGGAGGGCTCAAACTCGGCATGAACATCCCGATTTTTGTCCCTGCAAATGACGAGAGGGGAAAATGCCTTGGGCACTTTGGAAGGGCTCTTGCTCATGCTTTGGGAGAGAGGGGGAATACAATTAATGGGTGGATTCATCTGATTTTGGAGATACTTCTAATCCACTATTATTTTTTTTTTTTTTTTGCTGCTGCTGCTGAGTTGCAAAAGGCTGAAATACAATGGTGCAAGCGGGTGAAGATGTGTGGGGAGGACATAAAACCTGCTGTGATCCTGAAAACGGTGTTTTTGTTTGCTGCACCAGTACCACTGGTTAGAAAGGAAGGAGTCGCTTAGCTGTACCCCCTGCATCGATCCCTGGGCTGGAGGACGGCCCTGGGGGACCAGAGCACCGGGGCTCAAAGCTCAGGATAATCAGGACCAACATTTAACCAGCACTTTGCACAGGCATTTCTTAACCGATCCCGCTGGGCTGAGGACCTCTCGGATGGAAAAAATACCAAGAACCAAAGGGCCTCGACTAACTTTGGAGCAGCTGAAAGCTACGATGGGCTGCAGCGGTATCAGTACAGCAAGTTGTCTGCACCAGAAGCAGGACACGGTTTCCTTGATGCTGCTCACCGGACATCGTGTGAGACGTGGCACTTTGGCATGCTGAATCCTGTGCCTTTTATTTCGTGCTCTTAGTGCTTTCTGGCAATGTCCACGGCTGAAATGAGTAGATCGTAACACAACCTCAGCTTCCTTTCGCTCCCGTACTCTATGCTGCTTACCTACTTCTGAAATTTAGGCTATTATGGTCATAAGGATAAGCTGGAAGATGCATGAAAAGCTAAAAAAAAAACACCCAAAACCCTAGCAAGTAGAAAAAGAGAACCCTAAACTGCGTGATGAATCCTGGCTTTTTTCAGCGCTGTGGTTAGCAACGAGCTCAGGTGCTGCCTGGGCAGTGAATGCTACCCAGCGCAGGCGGTCCCACGCTGCAGTGCCCGTGGCAGGGGGACCCACGGAAGACCTGTGTTAGCGCGGGGCAGAGCTGGCAGAGCTCCTCCTCTTACAGCCATGGTTCCGTGAGCCCGTCTGGCCCATTCTTTGTGCCAGCCCGTTCCTTTTCCTTGCTCATCGGTCCAGAGAAAACTTTTGGGGTCATGGCGTCCTGCTGCTTCCAGTCCCCTGGAGAAGATGGAGCTGTTATATTGATGCCCTCATGTGTGATCATGTAAAAGCGTGATGTCAAGAGGAGAAATCTCTGATACAACCCTTGGCTGGACCATATCGTGAGTTTTTAAGTAGAGATCTCTGCTGTTATCTGAGAAACAACCCTGCAACCTCCCCCAAAAAATCTGATTGTGTGATCCATCCCGTTTCCTTTGCAAGGCTTGGTTTCCCAGACTCTTTCTTTTACATGAGATTCACTGTTTGCACTCTTTTCTACATAAAAGTAAACCAAAAAGCTTTTAAAAAAAAGTGCTATCTGTCTCAGCTCAGCAGCTGAACATACGCTTTGCCTTCAAGTTATCAAAATTCCCTTAGATGTTTCTCTTTACTGAAAACCTGCCGTTGCATTAAGGGGTTTCTGCTATGCTGGGGTTATTTTTTTCCCAAAAGCTTTAGGTCTTCACTGCAAGGATTTCATATGCTAGAAAGAATTAAACTCTTCCCTGCCAGGCTGAATATGCGGAGCAGGAGGGAGTGATGTGGTACAGGTCGTGGCAGTTGGCTGATTTCAGGTCGTTGCTGAATTAAAGCCTGACTCTGTAAGCAGTGTGATGGTCTGTTATTTCCAAAATCTCACAGCATTAGTCAGAGAGGAGTTGGTTTAAGAGCCAAAACATCGGTGAAGGCTGGAGAGGACCATCCAGCCTTTTCTCCTGCAGAGGGGACATCCTCTCCGGCCGTGCCCGGAGCCTGGATGCCCATGCTGGGAGGTGGCTTTAAACAGGAGAACAACCACCGCTTGCTTTCCTCGCCCGAAGCTTCGCAGCCTGCTCTGTGAAGACTCTTTTTCTGAAAAACTCTTTTTCTCAATCTTAGCAAACCCCTTCCTGGAGTAATGAGCCCTTCTTGCCCCGCCGGGTACTTTGCAGAGGCCGCTCGAGGAAGCGTTTCCCCAGGGATGGCGGGGAGCGGGTTCGGGGCACTGCCGGAGCCCAAATTTTGCTCCCAGGTACCAACTTGGAGCCACCTTGGGTCTTCTTCAGCAGGGAGGTGGGAGCAGTCCTGGAGCAGCGCGACAGTGCTGGGCTGTTGCCCCAGAGCCATCCCCACTGTGGGCCAGGGCTCTGCTGCCCACGGAGCGGGTGATGGACCCG